TACAACTGCAAAGCTAGTTCAAGAACTAATCGGACAAACTGATCGCCCACAATAATTATGCATCGCCTAAAATAAGTCACTTTACCTCGATACTGAGATGGATATAATCTTGTTTACTCTGAAGATCGGATGAGCCTGGACTTTCGTCCGAAGCATTGTTCAGCTCACAATTGTAGTTCCCTCCTTGTGAGGGCCCAACATTTATGGACACACAATTGGGCTCCATATAACAGAGCACACTACAGCTGCCTTGGCGGGGCACCTCTAAAATCCTGATCAGGTGGCCTCTCATGACTTTGTCCTGTATGGGCTCTTGGAAAAGAATGGATCGGCATTCTTCACCTATTTGCCAAGTAACAAAACAGGTTAATATCATGCACAGTATTGTTACGAGGATCGAATTATTTTTACTGAATCGGTCACTTAATCCCAGAATTTTCTAGAATTATCTAGAATCTATAATATTCCAGAAACTTCTTTCATGTGACTCAGCAGTTTCCAAAAATAGTACAACTTGTAATACGCTATAAATGGTAATAGAACATTCTAGATAACTAAAGTAAATGTATAAAAGCTGGCTTGTGAGAAGTACAAAGGAGATTTGCCCGAGGGCTTACCCTCGTGGCTTGCTGAATGAACTTGTGGCAGCTATGATATGACAAGGCTATGACCTTTTCACCTTGCGATATCCGGAGAGAAGAAAGAGATGAAAAAGACGATAGCCGAGAAGGGAAGAAGATAAAGAATACAGTGTTCACTATGAAGTCCTCCGGAAGAATTTGTGTACAAAGAAATAATGCGATAAATCAAGAAAACCAAGCGCTGTGATCTTCAATCGGCGGAAGTTGGAATGGGAGGTTGATCAAGACGATGAACACTTCTACGGCATAAAGGATTGTAAGCCTGCTTTATGAATTCGGCTTAACTTAATCTCTAACCTAAGTAGATTAAACAGTGTAAAACTAATTAAATAATAGTTAAAATGGGTAACTGCTTGTTGTTAAATTTTTGTTGCGTGCCATATATCGTACTCGGGAGTCTATTTTCATATATGCTTTGTTAGCGGACATTTGTTGGTCATTCGTGCACGTAACAGTATTGGTTTACTGATACTGTAGATAACGGCAGAGTAATATCCTTGATAATTTAATTTGCCTTGTTAGACACTGCATAACGGTGTGTTGCTGCCTTTTGGTACACTGAGATTTTTCCTTGGTACGATATCTGCTTGTTATTTTTTCACCGAAGAAAGAGCTTGTCCTAGAAGGTATCTGTGTGATTTTATCCGGTTAGATTTTGAAAGTGAACTGAATTAAGTTGTGAGAACCAGAGGCAAGTTACCCGTCAAAGAGGAAAGCAATTAATTCCCATCCTTATTTAAGTGGATCCTAGTAGGAAGGACTACTGAAAGCGACAAAACCCCACAAGTCTCATGACTTGAATGTTGATCTCCTTCCTGCACTGTTCATTAGCAGATACACAGTCCACGAAAAAAACCAAGATAAAGAGACAAACGTTTGGCCTCAGCATCCATCCTGTGAGAATAATATTTTAAATCGCATCATTGAATAAAATCTCGCATTCTGATTGGTTAACGAAGCGAGGTATTTAGGGTGGATTTGCGAGTTGAAAACGAGGCTATGTGAAATTGTTTCGCATCTACGTCACTAAGCACAACAACTATCGTCAAATTGTTACAAAGTTGGGTTTAAACAACAAACATATGAAATACATATATATGAACTGCGGTTATGAAACGTATATGTGCACGATCCTTCGCAGTAAAGCACTGGGAGCAGGCCATCAATGCTCCCAGTTGGCTTGTTAGCTCAATTGGTAGAGCGCTGCACCAGTATCGCAGAGGTCAGTGGTTCGAATCCCGTACTGGCCTGAATTTTTTTCAGGTCTGATTTTCACTATTGCTTAAATAGTGCTTTACTGCGAAGGATCGTGCACATATACGAAAGTTGGGTTTCTAATTCAATTTAAAATGTTTTCAAAAGAGCAAAAACAGACATAGCGTTTTCAAAGTGAGCCTGAGGTTCTTCCTTGTTTTGAAATGAACTTCAAATTCTTGGAGAGGCATGAAAAACCTCTTTCGCTCGTGATAATCCGAAAGTGAGAAAATCCTGTGAACACGGCCCAGAAAAAACGCGCTTCCATCGATCAGTAGTTGCCAATAGCACAACATCAATGAATAACGGCATTGATGATCTAGCAGTAAGAGTTCTAGGTGGATTGTTCACCGATGTATCGTTCAACAACTCTCCAGTGAATATCTCCATCAACTTTCAGTCGAATGCTCATCCCAACTATTCAGCTAATGGCAGTCGCCTGTACTTAATTTCTACAAATAAAAAGATTAAAGTTTTTGGACTTTTCATGAAACACTTCTTTTTTTTTGAAAAGGAATAAAGAGTCGATCAATACGCGCATTTACACTTTAAGGCACTTACCTTATATTAATCGCGATGTTATAGGACTTGAAATCAGTGCTTTT